GGTGTGACTGGGACTTGTCTTGGACACCAAGCAAGTATTTACTCCTGAGGCAGAGGAAGCACATCGGGTAGAATATGAGAAAACTCCAATATAGTGGGGGTGGGGATGGGGTTTAATATTCTTCCAGAGATACAGGTAAAATGCAAGAAACTTCTAGTATTGTGGTTTGAGCCTTTTCCTGGGGAAACACGTATCCAAGAATAAGGGACGGATAACAAAGATTCAGTTCCAAAGAGGGGGACTCACAAGAGAATAGATGCATCATCCACCATTCCACTGAACAGCCCTCTGAACGTGATTTAAAAGGTTTTTCTGGAAGTGTACTCTATTTTTATGCATCATTTTGTGTATATCTCTAACAGAGCATTGGGCAAAATATAATTTGCTTCTGGAATTCCAGCTCATCTCATGCATGCTTAAATTGACATTTTTTGGCATGATTAATTTATAAAAAATTTATGTATATATTTGTATGTAAACATCTTCAAAATGGCTCTTAGAGTGCTGTTATAAGGTTAATGTGATATTAAAGGTAACAAACAAACAGCAACAACAAAAAAGCCCAGGATATTTGTGTTGGAGATTTCTGTTGTAGACTGCTTAAACTGTTTTTTTTGCATATAAATATGTAAACATCTTCAATATGGTCCTTATTACAGAGTTATATAAAAAATGTTTACTTTTGCTCTATTTTATTGCTATTTAAAGTAAACAGTTTTCATGCCTCTTTCAATCAGGTCTCACTAAAGTGCAGGCATTCAGGGGTTAACACTGAGGTTCAGACAACAAAAAAGCAAAGGGCCAGGCATCTGACTGCAACAAAAATCTTTAGATAGTTTTAAAAAAAAGACCTTGTCCTGTTCCATTCTGTGGTAAATAAAATATAGGATTTAATTCTCTCTTATAATACATGGGTCTATTAACAAATGGGCTTTCTGTAAATTGTTTTTATACAAAAATAATTTTAAGGTTGCTTCCTTTGTGGTGTTTTTCTTGCAAATATAAAGCTCTAAGTTAAAATGTTGTATGACTTACTTCCAATAAGTAATAAAAATATAAAAGTTACTAAGAATATGGTTTCAAAAGTAAAATGTAAAAGAAAAAATACTTTTAGATTTAAAAAAGATCATATTTTTAAAAGGCTTGTCCTCAAAAATTGTCTCAAAAAATGATAAAGACAAGCCACCAAGTGATTACAAAGTAAATTAACATAAAAATACAAAATAGATTTTCATAAAAGGAGTTTATAAATGCTTATGTAAATGATTAAATGGACTAAAATCCAAAAGTTATATTAAAGGCTTTGTAAGGTCAGAATTTAATGTATTGATATTAAACTAAAACCTAATTCTCTGAACTCCTAAGAACAAGGTTGTTTTAAAAATATGTTCTGTTCTTGTTAACATTTACAAAAAATCTGTCTAAAGGAAAGGCTTTTGTTAAGATAACTATTACAGTTTTTTTGTTCTAAAGGTTGATCCAAAAATTTATCAGGACAGCAAGAGTTTATTAAAACACAGAAAGGAAATAGGCAGCTAAGCACAGGGAGTGCTGCTGTGCCTATATGAGGATTGGGACAAATTTACTCATGTAAATTTGTAAAAACAAAGTCAAAGTTCATCCTGCAGGTAACATAAGGGGAAAACTCAAAAGGAAACTCTAAACTGGAGGTCTTGAGACTTCAATTTTTTTGTATTAAAGTCAACAGAGTGGAGATGTTAGTCCTTCTGCATCCAAATGTTGGACAGAGGGAATTTTTTGCCTGGGATGCCAAGATTGGGCCTGTTATTTTAAAGGGACTCCATTGACTACAGGTTGGTGGGACCATGCTATATATCATGAGCCTTCTGTTAATGCCAGCAATCTAGGATATGATCCCATATCAACATCTGAACTGTGATATTTGGCCATTAGGATTCCTAACTTGACACTTAGTCCCCAGGAATACCTATTTATTCTCTGTTGATTTTTGTCAGGGTTTGACTGCTGAGATAACTGAGTCAAAACTAAATGAAAGTTCATTTAAGAGTTAGTTTATGTAAAGTCTTCTAGATTACCTCATAATCATGGTTAAAAAACTATTGTCTTGGGTGATTATAATGAAGTCAGTATGTTATATGTTTCAGTGACTAGACTATTTAGGATCACTGACACTGCCCCCCCAACTGATGGAAAATCTAAATTTTACTCCAAGAATAACAACTAAATTAATATATGTATTATATTTTATTAATAATATATATTATGTTTTGATCATGTATATTATATTAATTATATATATATAAACTATCTAAAGATGTGGTGATACTGTTAGCACCTGCATATTGAATATATTTGTGTTTTTCAAGTATATTGAGCTTTCTAAAATACAAAATTTAGATAAGCTCTGTAACAAGACGTTAATGGTACTGATATACTGTCCTGTTAGCTGGTAAATTGTTCATCAGAATTTTAAACTTGGCTATTTTAAGTTTTTGTAATTACAGTTCTGATACTTTTGGGGCATTTACAGTTAAGTCCATGAAAAATGACTCCAACAAATTCTTACGTGTCAAGCAGGTTAGATTTTTGGATGTCTGCTTTTGTTGAATTTTGTTTTGTGTTGCCCTTGTCTAAAAGGCAACTGCCTAAAAGCCACTCCTTCTAAGCATCTTGTTACTTAAATTGGCCCAAAGGTCAAGTTGGCACTGACTCCTACATAATCTGCTTATTATCCCCCCCACACACAAAGGACCAAAAACAAAAAAATCTGAGAAAAAGAGAATCCTCATGACAAAGAATAAAAATGACCAATTGTGAAAGATCTTCAGTCTAGGGCATACTACCCTGAACACCCCAATCTCATCTGACCTTGGCAGCTAAGCAGGGTTGGCCTGGTTAGTACTTGGATGGGAGAAAGATTATCAGAGGAGACTGCTCAGACAAGCAGTTTGGAGAAAAGGGGGGAATGCTGTCAAAGTTCAAGTGGAGTCACTCCTGCCAGACTATTCAAAAATAACCAAAATCAAGAGGATTCTGGAAATTGTTCTTATGGGCATTCTACTTCAATAGAAACAAAGTGACTGTTTTTACTGGCACTAAACATGCCTTTGATACTTAAAGATTGTGCTTTTAGCTTCTTTTTAAACAATGGGTTTTTTAGACATAGGTACCGATAATGTATTGTTGCCATGGTAATTCTACCAACAGAAGAAAAAAACACAAGTTCAAACATATGAAAAATATACACTACAGCCAACACTTCCTGCTACAAGTATTAAAAAATATAATCTTGATTCTGGTCACTAACCTTGTTCCTCCCTCTACTTGGCCCATGGTCTTTTAATCTGCTTATCTCGTTTGTTTGTTCAAAGTTGGAGACCATCAAGCTCCAAATGTTGATGGAGACAAAGCCACACATGCCAGAGTTCTCCTCCTGGTACCATGAACCCCTTAACAGACCCCCTTTGACATCTTGGAAGAGATCCTGAATGGCTGTTCAGGGACCCCTTGAGACAATGCCCTTTCTCCTGACAGAAGTCAGGGTTATCTCTGGAGAAGGGGGTGGATATAAGGGAACAAATGTAAGAAACAATAAAATAACAAAAATTTCCTTAGGGATATAAAGGAAAAAGAACAAATAACAGAAGTAACTTTGTTTTAGATAAAGGAGACAAAAAACACAAAACCCCAGTTTTGCACAGAGGTGCTGAAGCACAACAGACTTTCCCAAAATAAACAAAAAGTTGTTGCACCAAAATAATGATCAATAATCATAAAATGTAGATGACAGACTCAAGGACAAAATAAACTTAATGAGGCCCTCTCAAAATGTCCCATCTCTTAAAGATGAAGGCAACTAGATGGCTGGGATTGATCAAATGTCAATACTAGCTAAATTTGAAGAAAAGAACTATAAGTAAAAGAAAATGGGGAATTATGAGAATCAACTTAGGTTGGGTTTTTTTCTGTTAAAGAATAAGAATTTAATCAGTAATAACTACCTTACTAACTTGCTTCCCATACACTTGCTTCCTGAGCTCAGCTTAATATGATGAACGTTTCTATTAAGAACAAAGTGTTGTTATCCTCATCTGGGCTCCTCCAAGAATTGTCCTTGATGCCCTGGTTCTGGACTGATAATCAAAAATAGTTATCGCTTCTCTAAACTTTTAAATTTCTTTGCTCCCAAAGTCCCTTTCTAGTTAGCCAACCATTTAGATTGTGAGCCCTAAATCTGCCCAATCCAGGGGCAGAAGAGGGACAGCATGGCATCAGATAAAACCCCGGTGGACTTTCCACCTGGGGTGCATACCTTTCAGACTTCTTGGTGTGAACCCTTTTGCAGAAGTAAATTTCGCCTTGCCTATTGACTTCTGAGTAGTATCTTCTCTCTCGTGACACCCCAATATCTTGAAGATATTTCTAACCATACTAAGGATTGAACCCAAGACCTCTGTGGTTGGTTTCAACATGTGAGCCAACTGCCAGTCCTTCTGTTTTTTTTTTTTTCTTTTCGTATTTGTTTGAGAGTCAGCATTTCTGTTCTATCTTTTCCCGGATTACAGATCTGTGCCACCACACTTGGCCCTATTTTTATTCTTGGAATTACATGGGGGGAGGGTTTGTTTGTTTAATTTTTCTCTTCAGACTATGTTTTATTTGCAATTATATTATTTCATGAAATTTTCTTAAAACAATGATATAAAATATATTTTCTTGTGTATAAGTAACATAGATAATCTTCATAAAGTAAATGCTCAAAGGTACTAGAATAGATTATCCACTGTCATGTTTTTTTATCCAACAGAGTTCAGGAACGATATATGAATAGTCAAGCCCAAAATCAAAAATCCAGGAACTTGACTAAATTTAATAAAATTAATAAAAATTCTTATATGATATATTTGTAAAGTGCATGTGTGCTTTTAAAGAAAAATTTCTCAGTAACTTTTTGGTAAACATAAGCTTGATGGTTTGGTGCATTGAATTTCACTACTATGAGTATGAATTTCTGACTTTTAACGTATAATAAGGTATATTATAACATACACCATCACCTCATTCACTCTCACAGGGCTGCAGGACAAAGCCAGCAGAGGAGGGATCTCACAGAAGAAGTGATCTATGGTATTTGGTCCACAGAAAGTCAACCTCAGGATGAGGCCTGTGTGCACCCAGGAATTGGTAACTGCAATAGCCATGACAATGCTGAGCAAGGCTGCACACATATGGTGGTTCATAATAGTACTGTAACGGAGAGGGAAACAGATGGCCACGTAGCGGTCATAAGCCATGGTGGTGAAAAGAACCATCTCAGCCCCAAGGGACCAGGTGAAAAAGAACAGCTGAGACATGCAGCCTCCATATGAAATGGTACTTTGTGGTATTAACATGGTTCCCAGCAGTTTCGGTATGATGCTTGTTGTGCAGATGATGTCCACAATGGCCAGTGCCAGAAGGAAAACATACATTGGGGTATGCAGAGTGGTATTATAGATTATTGCAATCACAATGAGCATATTACCCAGGAAAGCCACAAGGTAAATGAAAAGAAAGAAAAAGAAGAGAATTCCCTGGAGTTCAGGTTTTCTGGTGAGTCCTAGAATCAGGAACTCAGTAGCAACACTGTGATTCTTTCTGCGTGGGTGACTACATAGCAGACATTGCAAAGAGCAAGTAGCTGAGAACTAAAGGAATCTGAGAGTTGTCATCAGGAGACAATGAGTGGTGTGTGAGAGTGTGCCATTAGTGTTTGATTACTGATCTGATACAACTCTGCCGCCTGAATTCCTTTAGGGTGAGTTTGTCATTTCCAGGAAATATCCTCTATTCCCCAGACAGATTCCATTTTTTGATGCATATTCTTCCATGAGTAACTCAAATTAACTGAAGGTGATGGTTGGGAAAAAAATATAAGAAAAACAATTGTCTTCAAATATTTCAATAGTATAATTTTGACTTGACACTTGAGGCTTAGTCACATTTTATTTATATCAAATTGAAATATAATACAAATAACTATATATTTTAAATAACTTGGTAAATTGCATGAAATGTTTATGTATCTTTTTGTGTTAGTAGTAATATCTGGAAAAACCGAAGTTCACAAAGCTAATTGGAGTCGGAATATCTCAGGGGAAAATCCGAAATATTTTTGACTGAGGTTTGAAAGAGATTGGGTGTTTTATTATAAATGAGATATGGTTTGGTGCTGGGAAAATATAGTCAAGGTAGTTGATATGTGACATTTAATGCAAATATTTAAATGTTTTTCAAAGGAATGATATTGAAATGATATAAATCAGACTTTGAAGTAGTTACTGTTGAATATGTTTTCAAATTATAAGAAGTGCTCCTTGCCTGGACATTCCACTTTAATAAAAGATCTGATATCAAAGGTAGTTAGTAGGAATCTGTGAGATACCTAGGCCTCTTTCAACATGCAGTGTTACACACCAAAACAACCAAATATAAGGTGAATTCTCCTAGCCTAAGAGAAAAACTTCACTATTCCCTTGGAGAGTTATTATTTATTTAGGTAAATAATACTGTTTACCAATATTATTTGACCATGTAATTGTTACTTGTCAATTACCTTGGAAGCAGGTGTAGGGGAGAGATCCCAGTTTCAAGGTAAAACCCAAAATTTCAAGGCCGTGCATGTTTGTGGTTTGGCAGGAAAAAATATTGTTAAAATATCCATATTACCAAACTTCATATGCAAAGTCAATGCAAATCCTATCAAAATTCAAATGACATTTTTCAGAAATAGAAAATAATCCTGAAAATCATATGGAAACACAAAAGACACCAAATAGCCAAAGTAATCCAGAGCAAAAAGAGCAACACTAACTTCAAATTATACCACAGAGCCATAGTAACAAAAACCAGCACAGTACAGGCACAAAACAGACTTTTAGACCAAGAGAATTGAATAGAAGATCCAGAAAAGCCCAAGCAGCTTCAGCCAACTGATTCTTGACAAAGGAGTCAAAAACATACACTGGAAAAAAGACAGTCTGTGCTAAGAAAATTTGATATCCACATGTAGATGACTGAAACTTGATCCCTCACTGTCACCCTGTGCAAAGTAAAGTTAAAATGGGTCAAGTACATACAGGTAAGACCTGAAGCATTGAAGCCACATTAGGAAAACAGGGGAAACTCTTCAGAACATAGACATAGGTAATATATTCTGTAATAAGAATCCAAATGCTCAAGAAATAAGAACAAGAATTGATAAATGGGATTTTGTCAAGTTAAACACTTCTGTACAGCCAAAAAAGACAATCAACAAAGTGAAAAGCAAACCTATAGAATGAGAGAAATTCTTTGTGATGCACTCATATGATAGGGGATTAATATTTAGAATGTATAAAGAACTCAAAAAGTTAAACAAAAAAGCAAATAATCCAATCAGGAAATGGGCAATGGAACTGAACAGAGTCTTTTCAAAGAAATAAAAATGAGAACTAAACACCTGAAAAAATTTCCAAGATTTTCAGCCATCAGGGAAATGTAAATTAAAACAGCATTGAGATTCCATCTTATTCCAGCCCAGTCAGAATGGAATAAAACAAATAAGAAGAAACTCTATGTGGGAAAAAGGAAATCTTATCCACTGCTGGTGGGAATATAAATTAGTCCAGCTACTTTTGATATCAGTATCATAATACTTCAAAAAATTAAAAAACAGCTTCAGTCTGATCCAGCTATAGCACTTCTGGATAAATATACAAAAGAATCACTTACCATAGTTATATCTGTATACTCATATACACATTAGGAAAGTTGTGACACCAGGTTAGGTGACCACCAATAAGTGAATGGATAAAATATGCTATCTGTACATCATGGAGTTTTAATCATAAAGAAGAATGAAATTATTTCATTTGCTGGAAAATGGACAGTACTGAAGATCACCAAGTTAAGTGAAATAAGCCAGCCCCACAATGACAAGTATCACATGTTTTTCTCTCACCTGTGGAAACTAGAAACAAAACATTCAAAAACAAGCAAACCAAAACAGTAAAATGTCAAGTTGATAAAAGCTAAAGCGGGACTACTGGGAAAGTGGTAGAAAAAGAAAAAAGAAGAGTGAGACTGGGAATGAGAAAGAGTAGGTAGAGGGGGTGAACATGATCAAAATACATTATATACATGTACAGAAATGTCACAATGAGACTACTTTGTACTATTAATATATACTAATAAAAATTTCACAAAGTAGTAGAAGTTCACAAAGTGATGAGAAAGTACATCTCTGGCTTTCCATCTCTGAGTTAAGAGAAAAGGTGAAAGAACTTGCAGATTCTGTTTCTCATTTCTTCTCATAATGTCCCCAACCTCTTCATAGGAGCAGTGGCATCAGTTGAGCTGTGCTCATTGCTTGTCCATGAGTTGTTTATTTACTGTGTGCAAAGCATGATAAACCAACAAGGGTGCCATTACACAGTTCACTGAGAGCAGGGGACATCTATTAACAATAAGCCATCTATTAACCATCACCGATCTAAGGTGGAGATGCATATTGTTTTCTATCCATTGGTGTCTAAACTAGTGGTCAAGAGTCTCTCTTAGATGGTGCAAGTGAGATTAGTCTACCTCAGATGTTATGCTTCATCCTGAGAAGCCACAATATCTAGAAAAAGAGGGCTTGCCTACTCCACAGAGAAAGTCTATTTCCTCATGGCTTAGAAACCAAAGCCATTTACTCTTGACCATGTCTTTTTCTGGTCATTTTATCTAGAATTATCAATTTTTCTTTAGTATATTTTCTAATGATCAAAATTTGGAGCCAAGAAAAATAAAAAATGAAATTTAGTTAGTAAAATATCCTGTCTCTGCAACTTTCTCTCTATGAACTTTGCATTTTTAATTAGTATTTTTCTAGACAAACAAAAACACATACAGTTTTCTATGTATACACATTGGTATCAGTATTTTCACCTAAGTGAACTTTCTGCTAAACTCATATTGAGGTTTGTAACCAGGGCTACTGAGACATACCCCAGCCTTATTTGTGCATATTTTAAATGAAAGAAAAACTAAAAGGTCAGACAGGCAATATAAATATAGGTATCATTAAACAGTTCTTTCTTGTTTTGAATTGAATTATATTCTGTGGATACATTTTCTCTGGTGCTATTGTTAGAAGATAAACATTACTTGGTTTATAAATATCTCTATTCAGGCCACAATTTCATGGTGACCATAATAAGTAGGCAGCACATCCACAAATACTCACTTTAGCTCCTTGCAGGCCATTGTCATGTTTAAATGGTGACTTTATTAAATTATTGGGAAACATGGAAATTAACACAGTAGTCCCAGTCACTTTTCTGCCTAATTACTTTTCTCATGCTTGCTTAAGTATTGGTTCCTTTGTCTTCATGATCAATCAAGAGCATGGTTCCTGACTTGAATACGAGGGGCCCAGGAGAAAAGCATCTTGGACCAGTCTGCTACCAGTAACAATAAAACAGATCTCAGAAGAACAATTAAAATAGCCCTGTACAGGATACTAATTATGAAGTGGAATATCTTGGTCTTTGTGTGTCATCATTTCTCTTTGAAAACCAAAACGTATCCCAAGACAATATGATCATGGAGCATAAACTTGAATAATGAAAAACGCTGGAAATGTTGATGAGAGATTCAAGTAATGAATAGGTGGTCAGTGATATTAAAGCAATTACTTTTGCATAGGGTGAGAGGAATTGTGGTTGTAGTTCAGTGATGGAAAACTTGATTAGCATCTGCAAATCTTTGGGTTTAATTTAACAACTGGGGGAAAAAATTATGAAAGGAAAATGTGGCAGGAAATCAATTCCAAAATGAGAGTTCAAACACAGTTTGTAAACATCACCTAGCTCTCTAGCCTATTAAGGGGACAAAGTTACAATGAAGTATGTAATTCACAACTTTCAATTGAATGTCTTTATGTACTGAATGGTTGTTTGAAAATTTGCTCTGCTTGTCCCTTTGGTGATGTATATGTGTGCTCTACACAAATATACCCACAATAAAGTAATATTGTCTCTTGTCTCTCTTTATGTGTATACTCATAGTTTGAAATGTCCATTGGAATTCAACATACATTTCCACGTTTTCCACATAGATTTTAATCACTTATTTCTACAGAGAAGATGTGCATAGTGAATGTTAGATAATTTTCACAGATTTCTCAAGTGGCATGTGAAGGCACTAAATGCATATCAATTTATAATAAATATGTAAATTGCTTTGGATAATAAATATAGACACTTTTACAATATTTTCTATACCAAACCAAGGTATTTAAATTGATTTGTAATTCCTTCAATTTTGTTTAATGATATTTTATAGTTTCCAGTGTACCAATCTTTTACTTCCTGACTTAAATTTATTCTGAAATATTTTAATTTTAAACTTCCATAATTGGCACTGTTTTCATCATTTATTTTTCTAATAGGGAGTTGTGAGTGCTTAGAAACACTTCTGATTTAGTATATTGATTTTGAATCTTGTAAGGTTGCTGAATTGATTAGTTCTGACAGTTTTGGGTAAAGTATGGTCTCCTATTTTTAAAGAAACTTCTTTGCATAAAGTCATGTTGTCTGTAAATAAACAAGCCAGGCAGGCCGGAGAGGCTCTGGCGGGAGTGGGGCACA